TGAGCAGAATGCAGAAGCCATATGCGCATGCGCTATGGTATCTGAAGAGCTCTACAGATACCATAGCGCATGCGCATATGGCTTCTGCCTTCTGCTTATGGCTCCTGCAATTTTATGTGCTTCCACCTTAAAGGCTCGTCTACACGACAAGGCGTAAGACGGCGTAAGGGCGCAGACGCAGGCGCAAGAAGTTTGTTCTTGATCGTAGCGGCGCGGCGCAACGGCGCAGGAGAAATAAATTATTTTTATTTCCAACGCCTGCGCCCACGTTACGCCGACTGTTTTGTAGATTAAATTAACGGCTTGGGTCGCTCACGTATCATCGCCGGATGGCCGATGCTATCCGTGAAGAAACTTTTGTGCCAGAAGAAGAAGTATCATCGCCGGCTTTACCTCTAGTGTGAACGTTGAAAACATGGAAGAAAGTTATAATGAGGCGTGTTCCTGTGTAGACGAGCATGGCGCAGACATCTTGCGCCTACGCTTGAGTTTGTGCCTGCGCCCTTGCGCCGCGCTTTTATGCCTTGTCGTGTAGACGAGCCTTAAGACCAGCCGCAAGCCGGTCATACATACATAGCCGGTTTTCCATTTTGGCTTTTAAAAAATTTATAATAAAAATAAAATACGGACTCGCAGCTAAGCAACCCGACAGAGGTCGGTAGTGTTACTCCTGTCGACCCTTAACCAATCAAAACATCTCATTTTATTACATTACTTGTGACGGGATCAAAATGAGATGTTTTGATTGGTTTGTTTAATAGCGAATTCGGACGCTTGCACTAGTGCACACTGAGTGCGCACAAAGGCTTGTTCTTAATCAATTGTTTACAGATCACCTTAAATTATACTTATTAGTTACTGTAAAATGATTTGTACAGCATCCATATAGATATTACAGATTGTTTTATTGGCTAAAAAGTTTTTAAATGTGTATTTAAGCGACTTTAAATATAAAAATTAGATTATAAACAAGCCTTAGTGCGCACTCAGTGTGCACTAGTGCAAGCGTCCGAATTCGCTATAACTCAGATGACGCGACACGTGACGCGCTCAGTGGAAACTGGAAACTCAGCCTATTAGAGCTACTCAGGTTTCATTTCTGAACGCACATACTTGATGCTCGGCGGCTCGGCGTCGGCGCTGAACGCTCACGCTGAACTGCTCGGTCACGTTCGTCCATGACGTCCATTTTTGTCGCGTTTGTCTCGGTGAGAGGTTGTGTCTCATCACGTTGCTACAGGTAAGTAATATCCGCGAGTAATTACGCTATTTGCGTCTCTACTCATCAGATAATCTACTCTATTACGGTAGCCCCAGCGAAGCTTGTTTCTATTTATTTTAACGCACGGTGTTTTTATATCGAGACACTTTTTTTAGCCTGATCTACAATGTGCTCTTTGCTTTCTGTTTTTTGCTCTTAACCTCTTCGCGACTATCTCGTATTTCGCAATTCCGTCGCGTAACGTGATGTTTCTTGTCTCTTCTGAAGTTCGTCAATTTTTATCTTGGGCGACAGAGAACAAAAAACATCGCGTTACGCGACGCACGTGCGAAATACGGGATAGTCGTAAATAGGTTAAGAGCAAGAAACAGGAAGCAAAGAGCACATTGTAGTTTGAGACCACGTGTCTTTCGCTTCTTCGTTGAATTGCGGACACGTGGCGGATGTTCCGTTCTCGAATCGCGAAATTATCAGATCTAAAAATCGACTGTTTTTTTTTCACTGTAGGTATCTATGTAATTTATAATAATTTTCGCTGAAGTGACGATCTCCCGACATGGTTAACGGAAGAATCCCATCGGTCTTCTCCAAGACCTATGTCACGCCCAGAAGGCCGTATGAGAAAGCTCGCCTCGACCAGGAATTACGCATCATCGGAGAGTATGGTCTCCGTAACAAACGCGAGGTGTGGAGAGTGAAGTATACTTTGGCCAAGATCCGTAAAGCTGCTCGTGAATTGCTCACGTTGGAGGAAAAAGATCCAAAGCGTCTCTTTGAAGGTTGGTTATATTATGAGGTTATATCAGTTTAATCTAATTAGAAATGTATTGCATCCGTAAATGTATGTCACAAGCACATATATGTTTATAGGCTGTGATCCATTTGACGCTACAAATGCTTTGAAGAGTTTTTCTTCTCTGTCTTTCTTTATTGAAAGAAAGAAGAAGAGGAATGCTTCAAAGCATTTGTAGAGTTAAGTGGACCGCAGCCATTGGGCGTGTTCCGATATTCACTGCCAGTACTGAAAATCTATAGTTACGTGACGCAAACTATATATTTTAAGCACTGCCAGTAAAAAAGGAACACAGGGATTGACATACATTTACGTATGCAATACATTTCTAATTAGATTAGACTAGTGCGTTTTAACCCTGCAACCGTACATGTGGGTCATTTACGTCCTCGGTACTTTTACTATATGGTTCGGCAGCAAAGGTTTGTTTACCTAAAGGTGAAATTTCATGGGCAGTGAAAAGCAGCAGCAGATTGTACTGATTAGCTACAAAATAGAGAAGTTCTAGAAACTCGAGAACTTCTCTATTTTGCAGCCAATCAGTACGATCTGCTGCTGCTTTTCACTGCCCATGAAATTTCACTTTAACGCGATTGAATTAACAATTACAAAATTGTTCAAACTTGTAGTTAAGATCTCAAGAAACATCTATGAATTTTTTCAGAATTTTTGGTAAAATTTTAGATTATTTAATATGCTGCGAACGCAAATGACCTATATATACTGTTAGTGAATGCTGAAAAAGAATGTACAATTGCAGGGTTATAACTATGTGTGTAGTTGACATAAAAATGATAGGAAAATACATGATGATAACCCATGACACCTCTTGTCTGAATACTTTTGTAGAAATGAGTATGAAGATTCTGAAAGATTTACGAAAAAACTTTTTTTTAGTTTTTTCTAAATTTCTATGTATAACACACAAGAGCATTTTCACAGGAAATGCCCTGCTGCGTCGCTTAGTAAGGATTGGCGTATTGAATGAAGCTCACATGAAGCTCGATTATGTATTGGGTCTAAAGATCGAGGACTTCTTGGAACGACGTCTGCAGACCCAAGTATTCAAGCTAGGCTTAGCTAAATCCATCCATCATGCCCGCGTTCTCATTCGCCAACGTCATATTCGGTAAATAATACAATATGGTCTTTACTACAAGAAGAAAAAATATCTGAAAAAAAGAAGAAAATGTTTTATTATCGAGAAAGAGATTTTTAGTTTTAAGCACAATTTAGAAGTTTGAAGAAATGCCTTAAAAAATGGGCAAGAAGTGGTCGAATAATCCTCGCGGTACACTTCTAATCTTTGAGGCCAGATCAAAAGCCTGGATTAATCACCGGTTAAGGTTATATAAGTTCCTTTTTCGGCTTCAGACCAGGCTACATACACTCACATATTATGTGCTAAATGATCGATTTTGTTAGATTTTAGATTTCTGTAATTTGATTAAAATTCTGTAACTTGATTATTGAGTGTAAAATATCCCCTAAAGATATTAAAATTTATAATTATCTTGTCAGGATACTATTAGCAATATTTTTTAAAAAGAGCAAAAAAAAGAAATATTTTTTAGCATTCTATATTGTAAAATTACGTTTTAATGTGAGACTTTATTATTCGGATGTTTTACAATGTTAAAAATTGAATGTTCACGCGTTTTTAACAGAAATTTTATATTGAAATGCATAAACATTCGGCGCGATGTCGCAAGGTAATATTACAAACGAATTCTATTACTCAGGTACCAAGACGATGAAACCTTATCGACCGGACCTGGTTGATTGTGTTCACTGAGTCGAGAATTCAGTTATTAACTTAATTTGATTTATGCAGGCCACTTAAATGCTGTTTATCGGCACTTAACGTCTGTCGAGTTGTTGAGGTTCTTTGTTCTCGTCGAAAAAGAGGGATAAGTTTTGGTAGAGTCTTTGCTTTTTGTAACGAAAGAATTTGTGATTAATCTACGTTGCAAGTCCGAGGAGACCGAGTGATCAGCAGCCATCTTTCGTTGCAGAGTGCGCAAACAGGTGGTGAATATTCCGTCATTCATCGTGCGACTGGACTCGCAGAAGCATATCGATTTCTCGCTCAAGTCGCCCTTCGGCGGCGGCAGACCCGGCCGTGTCAAGAGGAAGAACTTGAGGAAAGGAAGTGGTGGTGCCGCACCAGAAGAGGAAGAAGATTAAAATGATTATTACTATCGCCATTTATTATATCAATAAATATATAGCGCGATAATCGATTGTCACTATTTTCCTTATTTTTCTTCCTTCTTTCAAACGGAATCATTTTAAACGTTATTCTTTTCAAATAAAAACTCAAAGTATATGTAGAAGATGCATCTGAAAAATGGAATCTAAAATTTGATTGAAATGTTTATTGAATTTGCTAAAAATCCTTTTTTCTATTTTATTTTCTTGAATGTATGACGATTAAATTTGCATCTATATTTTTAAATTGAAAAAGTTAAGTTGAACTGAGTTTATAGCTCCTAATTAATTTATTCAATCATTACCGTGATACCGTGAAATAGCTACCTAATTAATTTATTCAATCGTTACCGTGATACCGTGAAAAGTTAGTCCGCAAATAATCCTCGAGAATGTGAATTATGCATTTGCACTCAAAATGTAGCAAAATTTTGCAAATTATCAACAATTTTATTTTACGATTTTATTAGACGATATTAAATTCTGTTTTATGAAATATATACAAGAATATATCCTTCGCCGAAGATACAAATAGTATTTTTTACCGAATATCTAGTAAACAGTTTTTTTTATAAAAGATATATAATATATATATATATATATATATATATATATATAT